TCTGTACATTACAAAAATATTTTTTAAATGTGCACCCGATAGGCGTCTGTGGATTCATCAAATAATACTTTGCAAAAAACAAACGGGCTAGCCGCGAAGGTCCGTGCCGTATAGCGTGAATAACCCTGTATATCAACATAAAAAAAAAGTAAAAACACCCTATTGGTCAAAAGATAAAATTGGAAGTTTTTTAAATTTAATTTTTAAAATCAGGTCAAAATATTCATTGTGTATTTTCACAAAAAAAACGTATTGTAAAGAACCGTGTTTAATTACCTGCAATTGGTGGCCCCACTAAAGAAGCGATTCCTTGGAAAAGCAGCAACAGTCCGAAGGCATTAGTGAGTCTTTCGAGCCCAAGCAGATCTACAAGAATGACTGAAGTGAGTCCCACGTAGGCTCCAATAGTGAAACCGAAAACTGCACTGTAGATGGCCAGCGAGTAAAAGGCGAAGCAAAAGGCACTGATGAAAGTTGCTGCGAAAAGTGAAACACATTTAAAAGACGCTTAATTTGCTGCAAGTGGCACTGCTAACCTGCACCACAGATAGTAAGACACCAGTTGTACACCTGCAGTCGATTGATCCAAGGCTTGTCCGAAATGTACCCCAACACAATCCTGCCAACAGTGTTTGCTGCGCCAATAATGGAAATCAGCATTCCTGCGGTCTTAATGTCGATCCCCAACTCTTTGGCTTTAGGCACGATGTACACGTAGGGTATGCTGAACCCGATGCTGGTCAGTAAGTTGCTGGTGGAGAACAGAATGAAAGTGGGGTCTTTAAATAGGGAGAAATCGAGCATTTCGTGCAGAGTGTCTTTGGTTTCTAGAGAGCATGGGATTAGACCGCACAGTTTCGCGTCCTCTTCCTCATCATCCGCCGAGCGATAATGTTTCTTGTAGCTGAAGCTGGAATGTCGTCGATCGTCCAGACTGATCTCTCCGGGCTTCAGATCTAAACGCGATCTGTACGAGGGAATGTTCATTAGGCTGCCCTGATAGAATATGTCCGGCCTGTCTATAGGGCCATGATGTCTACCATGCTGATGAGACCTGGAAGAAATTAGTGGACATATTTTAGTCTTTTCGCCAGTATTTAAGTTCAATAAAGTGTTATTCCATTATCATCCACATTATTATTAATTGTTGATAGTGATTATCAATTCCGGAAA